GAGAAGAAGATTTTTGAAATTTTAGTCAATTTGACCCTTTTTGGCCCCGCCCCTCTGGCCCCTGGGGGCGTAGGACTAAACTGGCAAATCTTTTGTTGACCTTTGTCCATGGAAGGTCCCTGCAAAATTTCATTGAAATTGGTTCAGGGGTTTTGGAGAAGAAGTCGAAAATGTAAATTGTTTACGGACGCACGACGACGGACAAAAGGTGATCGCAATAGGTCACTTGAGACTTTGTCTCAGGTGACCTAAAAATCTGAATATAACTCGTCTACTTGAACATGAAAAAATCCAAACAAAAATCAGTTTAATGTTTTTTTTGTTCTGTTACATTACAAGTTCAAATAAAATAATTTCCAATATTCTTAAGTCATCTTCTGTTTCTTTAATTATGTGTTTAAATGATGCAGCAATAACACTGAGTTTTTTTGCCAATTTTTGGACTAAGCTTTTATGGGTAAAGTAGGAAGAAATGGGTAAGACAGGATAGAATATGCCAAGTCTGAAAAGGCGAACTTTGAATTAACTGCCTTGTGGAACACACTGAAGGTTCACAGGCTTCAGCATAACTCTGCCACACCAATCAATAGGTAGCAACCATTTACACAATTCGTTATCTTTGTTTTAAGGCGTACAAATATTGCGACAAATATTGACTGATTCACAGTGAATGTGCTCTTCCTAATTCAATGAGGATCATGCAAATTCGAAATGCCCAAATTGATAACAGATGTTTTTCTTATCTTTCTTTTTTCAGATTGAATCCAAAAATTTTCATTTCATCCTTTTCCAATACAAGTACACTACTTTATCTCTTTATCACATTGAGATATTCTATTACTTCATCTATTTCGTAAGAAACATATCCTACAAAACCCCTGTAAAAAAAGGGAGAATGAAAATCACTGAATTGCAGTCGAGAGGTTTTACCAAAACACAAAGATATAGGATGCTGTGAAGATGGTTGGTGTGTTTCATCCATTACTTACAGGAGCTTCGCCCGAGCTCACGTCGCTCGGCTTTAATGAGACACAATATACCATCAGAACTGATCTCACAATGATTCTAGTTATGTATCATAACATGACTAACCATTACAGCAAACTTTTTAGCTAAATGCACAGCTACATGGTTGCATAACGTGACCGACTAAACAGAAGCAGAAATCGTCGGTAGCATTCTTGCGATTTGTTGTAAATTAACCCTCTATACCTTTTTAAATCCAAACAAAAATATGACTGAGTGTATTGAATTCTTTAATTACAGCAAAACCTGTCTTATCTGACTCCTGTGTACTCCGTCATCACATCTAAATCATCATAATTCTATAATTCAATTTGTTATGAAAACTACCTACAAGATGGTTATTTTGTATCCCACAAGGTGTCAGATTAGACAGGTTTCACTGTACATCAAATGCTGAAAAAACTTCAGCTGATGTAAACCTCCTACCATACCGGACATACCCACAGTGTCGTCAAGATATACTCAATCACAAACTTAACCAATGTTTCAACAATAGATATATTTGCAAAGAAAAAAAGAAAGGAGAAATGACAAAAAACAAACTTTTGTGTAAACAATGATTACATATTGGCAAATGAACCTACTAAATATCTACTGACTCATTCTCTGACAAATAAATCGACGAAAAAACACAAATCATGCTTGCTGATCCAAACATTGATGTCCCGAGCAGGCAGCGAGCCTGTGGAACCGGTCTTTACCTTACAATCGGTGGACTGTAGGCACAACAGATATAAACAGAGTGTGGTCAGTTACGCTTAAAACAGTCGTAGTAATATTATCAACAAGCTTTTCTTTGTATCAGAATTGACATTTGTGCAAATTCTTTCTATAAAAAAGCTCTACTGTTTAAAAATAAATAATTAAGTCTTCCATTGTCTAACTACCAAGCAGCTGAAAGTCAGGAAAATTATTTCATAGAAAAATGTAAAGCAACACTAAAACAGATTTGTTGCCTGTTCCAGATTTGGTGGGAAGATATTACCCATGAAGAAGGAAGAAAATGCAATGTGGTTGCTTTGATCAAATCACTGCATTTAAATCAAATATGCACAAAGGTCGAGCATCAAAAAAGAGCAAGGGACTTGGCTGGAAAGCCTGCCTGACAAGTTCCATGAAAATCTGGTAATTCCTTCAGAACGTATTGTTTGGAAACAAAACTGTACCCTGCACAGCAAAATGTAACTGTTCAAATAACTTTTTGTCCATTGACCTTTGCCCTTAACAGCAATAAACAACAAATATTTTTAATTACAAGATAACATATAAAGGTCTCTAATTTCTATATTTAATGGACATAAATGGAAAGGAAAAGAGAAAGAAATTGAACCGGGGAGGGCAGAATACAGACATTGTTCACGAGATCTCATGATGAAACACTTAGGTCTATGAATTTTTGTTTAACAATTTCAGAAATTTGAGGGATGGGCATCACAATAGAAGGACAGGTTTATTTATACCAGATAATATGTTATTATATATTCCTTCACATCAAAACTACAGATTTATTCAAAATGTACAATTTCTACAATCAAATATAATAGTCAAGAGTGGCAGCAAAGAAATCTCTCTGAAAGATGTTTTTTTATTGCATTAATACATAACAATCTCATCTTTTAAAGCTTATCTTTTACTGCCATTTTTAGTTCTTCGAACTACAGACAGTGGAAATACCAAAAAAGAAACCAAACAAACTTCTGAACTAAAGTAATACATTAAACCTCAAGTTTACAGCAACAAAGACCAAAATACAGCACATCTGAACATAAAACACACTGCTCACTTATTTCATACACACCTTGAAAATTTCAAAACCAGCAATATCCAAGATGCCGATGAAGGAGGCTCCCTGCCTTTTCGTCCTGTCCAGGGAACGATTGATCCTGATGACAAGCCACTTGAATAGTTTTTCGTAGCAAGCCTTGGACAGGGCTTCCACGGCAAACTCCACCTGTTCCTTCGTCTGAGCCTTGGTCACGTGATCCCGGCCCACTTTGATCTTGGGGCGGAGGAACGCCTGTATGACGGACGTCACTGACAGACCAAGGAGGTGGCAAGCTTTCTGGGCAACTGGCACATGGATTAAAGATTTTTTTCAAATATATTACTCATTTTCCTTCATGTTTTTTTCCAATAACTATGCTGCAATAAAAGCATATATAAACCAAGTTAAGATCTTGGCTGGTTTAAGGATCCCCACAGCACTGCGATTTTTCCTATATTCAGTAACCTCCCCTTTACTTCCATTTTTATGTAACTGTGGCTCAGTTTGGCCAGGACACTTCAGTTGACCAGGTAGCTCAATCGGTTCGAGTGTTAGTACATCAATCTGAAATCCAGGGTTCGAATCCTCGTCTAGCAAATTTGTTTTATTATTATTTAAACTCGAATGATTTTATTTGGTTTATTTCACCTTTATTATTTCTGATTTAAGTCCTGCAAAGTATTGTTTTCTTTTCAGAAATGATTTATCAAAGCCATAGTCATGCCAGAAAAAACTGGTTTCCAACACTTAGTAACAGTTTTTGTAAGTGGTACGGAGACCCTTTAACCATCTTCACAAAGTACACAACAAAACCTCAATATAATGCTCCGGTTTTTATTCGCCACCTAGCTTCTCACCAAAGTATTTAAAATCTTTCTTTTTTTTTAAAACTTTTTCATTGAACTATCATTGTGTATGTGTCCCTTGGTATACTGGCAAACACCTTTCTCACGTCAAACTTCGGCTGGACAAAACCTTGGCAGTGTAACGAGGTTTTCACTACTTATAATTCTTGGGTGTTAAATTCAAATATTCTTCATTTACCATTTGTTTTTCGGTTTTCAAAATTATCATCCACTGTTTTAAAAACTTTGATCTAGTGCTCAGATAAGAGTAAACATGTTGGGACATTTTCCTCCCTAGACTGGACTTTACCTGTATCGTCAGGAAGTGTCGCCTGGTCAGAGCTCCTTTCTTGTCTGAATGTCATGTTACCAAACAGCAGTACTGATGATATCACTCTCATGATGGCTGCAAATACAAAACTGACAGTTGATATTTTTCTCTCTCTCTTTCATTTATTCTCGTCACTTGTCACAACTGGATCAAATTGTCGGTCTGCTTCAAAAAATATTTGTTAAATCGGCTAACAATTAAAACCAAGAACAGTAAAAATTGTATACAATGTTATAAAAGTAACCTTCTTTTTTTTCGAACTCAAAATTGGTGTACACCATTTTTTTTTTAAATAATGGTGTTAAAAGTTTGAGAAAATTAAGCACCAGTATTTACTGTATGCATTTATTTAACATATATGCTGCACAGATTGAGACAATTTCAATATCTATGTTCAGTAAGCTTGTCCACATTATGCTAAAACTTGTCCAACTGACAAATGAAGATGTACCGGACTGGTCCTCGGGCGATATGCCCATGATGGTGAGAGCCTCCACGGTCTGGCGGAACTCTCCTGTGTCGTCCACTCCTCCAACTGGTACACTGCCGTGAGTCAGGAAATGGTAATTGCCGATATCCTCCAACAAAAACTCCTCTGTAAAAACAAAATCTTACTTTTGTCAACAGTACCGATTCTTGTTACATTTATCAAGGCAGGTCACTGAGTTCCATTTTTTTTGAAGTGTTCATTTTCCCCCTAAAATTCATGTCGATTTTATGAAAACAGAATTTCAAAAGTTCATGCAGATGTTTGTTTAGGGTTTAAAGTCCTCACAACAGCCAGGGTCATATGAGGACAAGGTTGCAATGGCAGGTCACAATTTTCACTTAAGAAAAAAGTATTTTATTCATTGCTGAATTTGTCCTCCAATTTACCATATACATTTATGAATTAAACTTTTTTATGTAACACTTATAAAATCATATTTTCAGTTTTTCTTGAACAGTAAAAAAAATGTCAAAATGTCTAGAAAATGACATTTTAGTTACTTCCAGGTAAAAAAGTTGGGCTCCCTTTCAGTGATTCGTTTTTGCTCAGTTTTACTGCCGAATGCAGGCTGTTTCCCCTAGCTAAAAAGTGTGTTATTTCCCCAAAATGACAAAAACAAAATATATTCCCAATTTCAATACCAATAATGCTACATTTTCCCAATTCATAAGGGAACAGGCTGTTGTAAAATTTAGGTAACAAAAACATTGCCTTTAGATAGAAAATTGTCAGTTACGATTTCATTTCTGATAAAACTTTTCTATAATTTTTTCGAAAAAAAAGCCAACACCCTGCTTTAATTAACTTGATGTGTGAGCAGGCATAACGAGGAGAATTGGAACAAACGTGAGCATGTAACACTGCCACACGACTAGAGGTTAGGACACGTTAATCAGTGCCTTATGATTGATGACCAGGAGCCAGGTCTGGGACATGCACTAAAACAATCTCAGCCTATCTAGCTTGACTGTACAGACCACCTGTGTCAGTTGGTATGAGTCACCACTACATTGCGTAGGTAAGGTCACCTGTGATACAATATAAAGCTATACATACACAAAACAAGCTAATCTATGTAAATATGATAAAATATCATATTGGTTGTTATAGGGATATACGATATTGTCAGGGTTACTGATTATTGGCCCTAATGACCTCTTTTGTGTTGATGGGCAGTTAATAATCCATGAACTCAAGGTCACCAACCAAGATTAATATATATGCATGGTAAGCATATGAAAACCAAGGTGACACTATTAGGTTGTTGAAGGGGATATCCAGGGGGCACAGATATAGAGTGATGGGTTAACTAGGAGGGTTTAATGACCATGGAGTGAAGTAGGTATGGAGTGTAACCATAAGGGGATAGCAAACCATGACTGACAATGAGGCAAAAGGTATTTTGAGTGTAACCATATCTTTTTTTACTTTTTTGCATATATATCCTATTAACAGCTATTGTCATTTAAGGAAGTGCCAGGTTTTGAGAAAAGCCGGAGTTCCCAGAGAAAAACCACCGACCGACAGCGACTACCTGGCGACTGTCCCACGCAGGTCTCGAATCCGCGACCCAGTGGTGGAGGGTCTAGTGGTAGCAGAATGTCAGACGCCTTAACCACTTGGCCATAAGGGGACACTAAGGGATATTCGAGGTGTTGGGGATTTTGAGGTTAACTTTGATGGGATATTAAGAGGTGGTGGTGGAGATACTGTGGGTGTCTATGAAGGGACACCAAGGGATGAATGTATAACAGGACACTAAGGACGACTGCATGGGAAGAAGAGAAAACACTTAACATGTATTAACCAAACAGAAACCACAGATTTTTTTTATATTTTCTGGTCACAGATAGTTAATAATGTGCAGAGATACACTCAGCAAGAATCAATAAGTGACAGCTTCAGGGCCATTTAATTAATCTTTGTCTAACGTTGTCTAACATGAGCAGAGATCAGATGGTCCGTCTACCTACTTCTCTGATGAGGGGTGGCTCCATACAGGAACTGATAGAAGATGTGGAAACATCTCTCCTGTTCAGCCTGCCTGATAGCTCGAGATTTCTCCAGGAGATCTTCAGCAAGTCAAGGACCAATGTAATATTTACAAAGCATTCTGAATGATAAAATTTCTCTTCACAAAATATTTTTTAAAGATGAACATAGTTGCCAACTTAAAAAAAATAAAATCATCTGGAGTCTCTACATACAATAAATAACAAGGTAGGTTAGCTACAGTTAATTCTACAAAAGTGTGAGTCATTCCTTTTTTTTTTCCATTTCTCAGTTATGTAACATTTTCAAATATTGTATATGAAGAGGATGTTTGTGAACCTTAAAAATAAGAAAAAAAAAACCTCTATAATTGAAATTTAAAATCCCCTTTCACAAGTTTTACCTGCTATTTAAACTGTCACGTAATGATGAATCATGAAGCTATATGGAATTTATTTTTAACTTTTCTTTTACATCAGTTACCACAAATGTGATGTGATGCACTTTGTCAAAATAGCACTTTTGTAGTAACAGCCAAGCTATTTTCCAGCAGGGGGATAACAGGTGGTCAAACCACTGCCTTGGGAACATATGAAAAAGGATACATGTTTCAATGTTAGCTCCTGATATATATCCTGATGAGTCAAAGTTGATTCTGATGAATTTTCCCTGAAATATAGAAAAATAGCATTTTAGAGTTGTATGTATTGATGAAATCAAATAAACTTTTAAATAATACTGATCACGTTGTCACATGATATGGACAAAATATTTTGATGGGAAATTAATTTTCATATGCTTCTAGCTTGGTCCCTTATAACCAAAGCGTTTGCATTATATTGCTGATCATACAAAAATTGCTGAACAGATATTTCAATACAAACCCTTTTAATGGGTTACTGTGGAAAGGTGAAAACTTACAAATCTTGAAGAATTGTCGTTCTTGATAGTCTTTGCATTTCCGAAAGCTTCCAAAATGGGGTTAGCTTGGAGTAACTGGTTTTCTAATTCACCCTAGAAACAGGAAATACCACATTTGTTCAAGACACTGTCAACCAGAAGAAGGTAAAAGGTACAAACATCTCTAAAAGACCTGAACATTTTCATAATGAACAGAATTAAATTTTACCCATTGAATTAATAATTAAGTTGTTAATCAGTTAATTTTTTAAACAATTACTTGTTACTCATTGAATTGATATCAAAATTAGTTTCTTTCATGTATTACATCTTAGAAAAATTACTAGAAAAATGTATTTAATTATTATTGAAAGCATGCAGAAACATTAAGTATGGGCTAATGAACAAGACAAATGCATCACGAGTTAAGCTAACGATCAGCAGTGTCTATTCCACTCATTAACTCATTCACCCCTGAAGACACATCTGAACTCTTCCAATTCAAAGGTTGGAATAGTTCATTATGAAATATCAGGGGGGGAATGAGTTAAGATGACTTCAATGGAAGGTCCAAGATCCAGACACTCAGACTGGAACCAGGCGACTGCTCAGCTGCTAAGAATTTGATCAGCTTGATAGCCTCCTGTGTGTGTTGTGTCCAAAAAATAGCCACAATAAATGCCCAAGTTTGGAGTTAGATGAATTCTGCGTGAATGCATTGTTATTAGTAAAGCAATTTGTGTCTGTAACACTTGTGAACCTTGCTCTGCAATGGCCAATGGAACCCAATAGCTATCCCTCACTGGGACATTTAAGCTGGACAGGCAAGCACACCAACTTCTTCCTCATAAGAGCGGGTGCCATTTATATATTTGAGTCATTATAGACTCAGCACCACATTTTACAGTGGATTTTAAGACTAACAAAGGAACATGTTTTAACCTACCTTTTAGATATACAGTGGCTAGAATTATTAAGGTTGCAAAATTTGAAAGGTAGTGAAGTAACAAACACAAATTTACTGTTGTGCCAATGTCAGTATGGTCAAAAGTATCACAGAATCGACCTTATTATACAAGGCCTAAGTAACACAGCATTGATCTTATTGTACAAGGCCTAAGTAACACAGCATTGACCTTATTGTACAAGGTCAGAGTATCATATAATTGACCTTATTGTTCAAGGCCTAAGTAACACAGCATTGACCTTATTGTACTGCATTGACCTTATTGTACAAGATCAGAGTATCATAGAATTGACCTTATTGTACAAGGTCAGAGTATTACAGAATTGACCTTATTGTATCAGGTCAGAGTATCATGGAATTGACCTTATTGTACAAGGTCAAAGTATCACAGAATTTACCTTATTGTACAAGGTCAGAGAAACACTGCATTGACCTTGTTGTACAAGGTTAAAGCATTTAATTTGTTAAACAAGGCCAATTGGACCCAGTAATACCCTCTTGCACAATACAATCAATGTACAAGATAATTTTATATGGTTTTGTCAGTCAGTGAGTTCACTCTGTGGTGTGAGGTACCGGTGAAGTATGAACAAGGTCACAAAGTGCTATCACAACACCAATCACCTCAATATGTTATTCTTGCTCAACACAATGAGGACAGTGACCAGTGAATGGAAGTGATCAGTGAAGTCACCAAAGACTGAACAGTAACAGTGTATTTCATGATGCTGCATGCGTAATGGAACCGTTAGTATCTGTTTGAAATGAATGGCATCTGGATTAATCCTGGTCCATCTGTCATGCCTTCCTGTAGTCTATATACGGCTAAATGTACTCTATACAAACATATAGGGGTCTGATCACCATGCCAGGTAATAGATACATTACAAGTCGCCATAACTTTGACTAAAATTTTTGTTCGGAATCTTCACCACCATCGTACCAGGCTTTGTCCCGATGTGGACTGCCAAAAATGCTCGAATTTTCATTACCCGAAGTTCTGTATACTTACGGTCACAAACGAATTACCTCCGTTTACTGTCGCTACGGTAACTACATCAATACTTGGAAATTAGAATCCTTACACAATGTTTCACTGACAGTATATACAGTCTGGCAGGTGTACGTGACCATATATATATTACCAAACTGTGGATACTATTCGTAAAACAGTTGATCACGGAATGATTGTAATTTCCTCGTATTGTTTCTCACTCTCTAGTACTGTATTTCTACACAAAAACAACTCCTGTGTTAGTAGATCCTGATTTCCATGTTTCCTAAATACATGGTATGAAGCATGCTCTATTTTGGTTAGGTTCTATAACGCCCGAGTATCCAAAACACTACTCTCTAATTTTGTTCCGCTCTGTTTTCAAACCCTTTTCACTTCCCAGTTCCCAACTAATAAATGTCCCAATGAACATCTAATTCAGATGCAATTCACTAGATGAGTATTCAAAATCACCAAATAACGTGGTACACCAAACGAAAAAAACAAAATAAACAAAACATACAGGACAAAACACAACTATGACAACACAGCTTGTTTGACGTGAACACAGATGATGGGCATCAAGTACATGTGTACTTACAAGGTTTAGGTCCTTATGGCTCTATAGAACAGTGTGTGCCCCACAATGGAGAAGAGAGAGTTCATTAAACAGCGGCTCAACAGAAATCAACAAAGGTCGTACAAAGGTCATATAAAACCAGTAAAACTTCATGCTATTTCACACATGCACCGACATTATAGGATAGATTATCTTTATAATGAAATGTTTATTGGAGATAGAAATTACTTCAGAAACTAGCATGATAGAATCAGAATTGATACATATTGGGGAGAAATTATCACATATGATATAATTTATAGAAAACAATTTTATCTCAAAGAAACCATTTTTATTCAAGAAACAATAACATCAAATCATTCACCCCTGAAGACACATTTGAACTCTTCCAATTCAAAGGTTGGAATAGTTCATTACGAAATGTCAGGGGTGAATGAGTTAACAACTAAGAACAGTAAAATCATAATATATTACAACTTCTATCTTTTTATAAATTAATTCATAAAGATTTAACATCATAAGTTTTCAAAAGGATTTCAAATCCAAAATATGTTCAATTTAAATTTTTTAAAAAATCATAAGCTTAAAGAATGCAGTAAGTAGTTCTAAGCGATATCCCCGATTCCCTAGCTAGCACACAGCGCAAACTATAGCTCGCTCTAACAAAGCCAGACTGTCTCATGCATCAAGAATTGGACAGTATAGAGGGCATGTATATTTACAGATACATATTATATATGAACTAATAAGTAGGATTTTATAATCTGTAAATAGCCGTCAAGAGTATAATTTATCATTCCATACTTGTAGAGAAAAAGAGTTCGTAAATGTTACTACTTGCCTGAGTAAACACATTACTTCCCTGTGTCAAAAATGTGAATGTTCATGTTATTTATAATTTACTTAATTAGGGCCATTTTTATTACTTTTTTTTTAATTACATATACTTCAACACAGCCAATATATGCGGCATGCAATCATCACGTCTCCATGCAATTATTTCTTACACATGGCAACAACATTTGGTTAGAAGAAGCGTATTAATTACGTAAGGTTTATATGTAGGGTCAAACCAATGGCCAATTAAAGTATTGATATAAAACAGGTTTCGTTTATATTTGGATACACATATTAAATCAACTAGGGATGTAACAGATGTACACTTACAATAAATAGTGATATCTTTTTTTTCAATAACTCATTCACCCCTGAAATGTCATAATGAACTATTCCAACTTTTGATTTGAAAGAGTTCAACTGTGTCTTCAGGGGTGAATGAGTTATGAAAGGAGGAAGGATACAATGATCTTTTACAAATACTAGTTTTGATAAATTGTACATCTATTACATTGTAGGTTTTATATATATATAAAAAAAAATCTGGGTTAAAACAATGGTTTACAAATACAATCACATGACCTACCAGTGTGAGAGCATTTTGACGATCTGTGCTTGGCTTAACAGTTGTCAAGTTAAAAAGAGACAAAACAACAGGTTAAAACTAGTGAAACCTTTGTAAAATAGACGGTCAGAAGAACCTGTGATGTGTTTATGGTGATGCTGGATATTAAAGAGGTTTAAGTAATAAAGCATTAGAACAAACAAAAAGGAATTTCAATTACACTCTACTTTTAGGGAGCAGACTAATATTGATCCAATTCTACAATGCTTTATTTTAAACAATGGTTTGAATCAAAACAAACTACTTGTACTAGCACATTACTAAGTAACTACTTGAAACCCGAACTCCGACATCCTCTAGACGCTTCACAACAGGAGCAGGAAATCAGAAAGGAAACAAGAAGAAGATCCATTATATTTAGGTGTCTTTATATAACACCCCCTACTTAGGAATACCGGCTTCCTGTTTTCTTAGCCTTCGTCGTTGAGGGGTGGATATGTCAAAAGCCACAATTTGTACACACGAACACGTACGACATGTTTTAAGCCATTCCACATCAACATGCACAACACCACCGCACCGATAATATCTTCTGCACTAGTAATTGCAGCTCAATTTAACTTTACATCTGAACTTAGGGATCGTACAATTAACTAACACTTGAATGCTATGTACATGATTTAAACACCGAAATGTTTGCAAAATCCCCTTTCAGATGAGATCAAACGAGTAAGGATATTGTAAAAATCAGTTAAGTGCACCACATACAGGGCTACTGGTTTTCAGAGGAGATATTTTACAAAGCCTCCATACACAAGCCAAAAGAAGTTATATTGTAACTAAATGAAAATGTTTGGGGTAGTACATTATAGTCTATACCAGTCCAAGCAAGCTAAAACAATGGTAGAACACTTTGAAATTTCCAAAATATGAATCGACTTGAAATGAATTGATTCTAAATACAAAAATATCCTGATCTAGAAAATAACTTCAATCAAATTTAGCATTTATGATCCCGATCTATGTTTAAAATCAGACTGAGCCTTGGCCTTATACCCTGTACAATCATTAGAAGCTGCCAATCATACAGAGAGATATGTATCTGACACAAACTGTGCTTTACATACATAGGTCCAGGTCCAACTCAATACTAACCAAGCAGAAAGTGTCTACAGTTCTAACTCTGGTCTGATAATTGAAAGTGTCCACTCAGAAATCTACTTAAAATTAGATCCCAAAGTTCAGACAGATCAAGCAATATCATAGAATAAAAAATAAAATATCCTCATATCAACTGAAATTTATTTTGAACAATTTTATTTTTTTATTTTTAACAATTGAAAATAAAGTTTTGCCAAAAAAAAACACCATTTGAATATTCATGGTTTGATTTCTGGATCAATCCATTCAGGTGATGATCTTGGTTCATCAGCTGAACAAAACATTGGCTTCAGCTAATGATTTATTTTTACAACTCAATACATGAAAGACAAGAAAAACGTTTGAAATCATTGAGATAAGGATGGAAAACGTAAGCTCACATCTACTGAATACATAACAGATTATATTTGTAACATAAATAATAAAAAAAAAACACTCTATCACGGAGCAGACTAGCTAGTGTAGCCATACACAAGCCAACACATCAGACCTGAGCAGCTAGTTACAGATGCTGCATCATACCAATATATATGTAAGGGAGGTCGGACTAGCTACATCCTACACCACCCAGCCACACCCTGCAGCCAGCCAGTTGATGGCAAGCGACTGCCACCGGCTACTAGCCCATACATACCTGGATGTGGAGGTTGGATACGGATGAACGGTTGCCCGATGGCCTGTTCGAGGCTGCGACATGAGCCAAGTACTGTATAACTTTCTTGGTGTTTTCAGTCTTTCCGGCTCCGGATTCACCACTACAAGTACAACAGGAAAGAAATCCTCAAATGTACAACAAAGCATTTTATCTAGTTCCTATAATTGCCCTCCTAGCAGGTTGAACAGGTTGAACAGGTTGACTCATACAGGCTTAATACTGATAAATATTGAAAGAATGTTTCTGGACAAATATTGCATCGCGATGTGATCAGATTTTTTTACATGTATTTAAAAGTGTTGATTAAAATTGCACTTACTAGTAACATAAATAGCTCATATGAATACTAGCTTGTTCGAAAACGATATGGTATTAGAAAAATTAATGATACTCCTGTCTGGCAAGATAATTGCATACCCTGGGCTCAAAATGACTTTATAAAACCAGATACCCCAGGGGCTACCAAAGAATAAAACATTATGTGCTAAAGCGTTTTTAAGGAACATCAATATATGTTATTTATTTGGTCTGTATATTTGTAGTGTTTAAAATTAACTGTATAATATACAAAAATGAAATACAAAAACAAGTTGGATGTTTATCACCATAGTGACCGTCGTCTCCCTATATTTACCAATGTATTGCATGCATGTATCCCGACACAGGTCCATATCCAACACAAATACCGTAAATAACATGAACACACTATCAATTTTCATGTTCATCCAGATATATGTTTTGTGTAAATTCTGTTGAACATGTTGATACATTGACTTTATTATTTTTCTGTTTTGGCTGGAGAGAATTGTTCCATTCCATGTCTTTCTCAATTCTGTTGCCTGCTACTGCACATGTGTAGCCTGAGAAAACCCCTACGCTCTCATACCCTCCAAGGGAAAGTCCATAACCTCTCATTTCAATCAAAGTGCAAGAATTACAAAAATAACTTTTTATCAGCAAGTAAAATACTTCCTGTAAATACCAGTGAGTTATGTGCCCCTTTCCCCCCACGTTTCAACATAAATTGCTTATACCTGACACAAAAGACTAGTGGCCTGATCTTGTTATTACTTCATCATGTACGAGGCCTCTGATTACAACATAGACGGCATTCACGAGATAACAAGCCTGAAGGATTCAAAGACGGCCTCTGTTTGTAGGATAAATGTTAGCTACACCCTGGAACAATGAAATTACCGAGAAAAACTCCCCCCCTATAAACATGCCATACACAATATGTAAAGATAGCGTTATCTGTTATGTCAGGGGTTTATCATTGTGTGACAACCATCTCCATTTACGCTTGCATGTATGTATCCCAGACACAGGTGTTGTCTATGCTTCACATTATACCAAAAATATTAGATTTGAACTCTTTTAAATTCTTTTTTATTCTAAAGGCACTGTTTCAACCAGATTTTCTGTTTATTTCACCACACAAATAAAGCACATAAAACGTCACACAATAAATAATATAAGTAACCAGGACAAAAGCGAGGAAGACATTCACATTCATTAAACCATGTGACTGTTGACAGCAACACCAGAAAGAAAGAGTTATTTTTAATTTGACTGATTTTCAAAATGTTCTGGGGAAAGACAAGTGAAATATTGCTTGTGACAGCTGCCACACAAAACATGGCTATACAGTCAGTCCAACGCAGACGCAACTTTAAATCTCAGACTGGGGTTCCTTAAATCTGGGACCAGGAAGAAACCGGCATCAGATGAAAATTCATACCAGTGTGGCCTCTAACAAACGGATATATTAAAGCTAGTGTATCTTGTTCCACTTGTCTATTTTTAACATGTTGATGTTTCAAATGTACCTCTCGAAAATCGTGAAGGTTAATTACAAGCTGTAGTTGTTTCGAAAGGAGGAAGTTTGTATTTTCAACAGTAAATAACGCAAATGTAAGAGAAGTAAACCTAATCATTGCACACCAAACAAGATCCAGGAAATGATGAGATTACCTCATAGACGGACGAACGTAACATATTGATATCTCTCGTGGTCATCGTACCCTGGTGACTCAAGCCTTTCTACACTCAGCCAATATGCAGACAGAGTATTGATTGTACATTAATCTCCCTAACGACCGCCTCATATTTCCTCTGCATATGTATAGAATGACATAGATATAACAGTACTTTTTTGCTGCATAGCATGCCACCTCGCAGTATTGAGCCACAACTGCAGTAACTAGATATATATGTATATACCATTACTTCTACAGTGTTTAACTAACAAGACATACAGCTAAATAACTTTTAAAATTCAAATCATAGAAACGTTTCCAACCTTCTCATCTGCAAATGCTTTAAAAGCCAATACTATTTCATCCTTCTGATGATACTTCTATAGAATTGTAAACAAACATGTTCTTTGAATATTCCTAATTAACCAGAATCTTTAACATGAAACTTCTGAAGTAAACAGACATAATTCAAAAGTTTTGACAAGATCTCATCACGAATACAATTCCTGACCCATAAAACTATATGTTAAGTCTAGCAAGGCGCGGTGGTGAAATTCCAAGTTCCTGATGTATCAGTGGTGAATAGATAATTAAACTGATTAACGTAATTGCTATTACAATCCCACTAATGAATGACAAGTGCAGCACACGGTGTGGCTGTAACGAACATGAAGATTAAGCAGCTTTATTTTGACTGTACACGTGTCTGCTGTTATTGTGACTGCACGCGTCACATATTGTTATTTTGACTATGTAACCTGCACACATCTACAGATGTTTCCTCTTGGCTAGCCAGTGCCAATTTGGTAAATTGTGTACAAACATTCCTGTGTTCCTCTGTAGTTTGTCAGTAGCACCTTACTAATCATCCCAGCAGTCATCAAATCATCTCCGCAGCCAGAGAGCTCTCCCCCGTCAGTCTGTAGTGTTAGTCTATAACATGGGTCCAGGTGAGCTAGATAATCTGGACCCAGGGGTTATATGTAATTAGCTATATGTAGAGAGCAATTACAGGCAAACGATACAGATACAGGTGGAAAATCTTGTACAACACCTTCATCCCCTACTGTAACGAGAGTTTTCACAGGAAACCAATTATGTCAAACGTTTCATAGGAAGTTAGAAATTCTTCTTTTCTCCACAGTTTCGTCTTCAGAGGTTGTCTTTTAAACTAAAACTTGCAAACTTTATCTACCTTTATAATGTAATGAATCGTTTTTACTTTCTTATACAAACTGTAAAACCACTATCCTTGTAATGAAAATATATATATACTTCTAGTGTCTGAATGGCTGAGGGCTGGTATTTATGTGATAATCAAGGTGATGAAAAAGAAATAGATACATATATATCCAGTATCTGCAGGTTGAGGGCTGGTATGAAATTGATGTAGATGACTAAGATGACGGTCAATACCAATTTGAGACAGATAGAGTATGCACAAGACCACCCGACTTGTCTTACAATTCACATGCATGATTCATAGATTGTCTTAACCAATCAATAAATATCCTTAAGACAGTTCAAGTAAGGTCACGACAAGTGCACTAATCAATCAAATATACCTGTAGGACTGTCCAAGTAAAGTCAAAAGTACTTTTATTGTTGTCCAAATTGTGATTATGACCAAAAGACTAACCAACCAAATACTTGGACCTTAGTAAACATACAACCAGGGACTATCCAGTTAACAATTCAGTCGACCTTCCACCTGAGTAAACATACAACCAGGGACTATCCAGTTAACAGTTCAGTCGACCTTCCACCTTAGTAAACATACAACCAGGGACTATCCAGTTAACAGTTCAGTCGACCGATCAGGGTCTAGTTGGTCAAACAAAAGATAAACAGTAAAGGGTTCCTACAGGTTCTGTATAAACAAGCTCAGAATTCCATTGTTACTTGACCTCATTTTATTTACATCATTCAAAATAAGGCTTGGCTACAAGAGACATTTAAACACCAGATCGGAACCCATCCAAGCGTGTGTTGTTACACATGAAAGGGGATTTTGTTTAACACTTTTCCCACTTGTAGTTTCCCATCGGGTTGAACGTTTTCAGTACTTGTAGCTATCGAGTTCCTTAGATAGATTAACACTATAGCATACCTAATGATGTGCTGGCATACTTCAGATCAAGTACCCTGAAACATCATTACTTCCGCCGAAGACATTCCACGCTTACCTGTTGACCACTAGATGGGCCTATGCTAATCAATATAGGTGAAAGGGTCAGTCACAAATACCTTAGATTCCTTTATCAACATCTCTCAAGCTCTCGTTTGTAGAAGCTGGAATTCTTATACTTAATTCGGACTACCACAGTCACATTAGTGACTTGAAAACCCCATCCCTCTTTCCACCAACAATCCCCCTGTGTTACTCCTGTGACTTTCCCATATATCTTAGAGACCTAAGCATCTAACTGCAACCTCAGTGCTCTGACCCCCACACACCTCTATATACTACACACTGAACACAGAAGCCTTTTCAGAGAGGCAGTGTGAAACTGTTGACAAGGTTGTAATCCTGCGACAAGTACAGATTACGGTTACATAAGTACCGCTAGCTTTAAGGTCTAACTGCTACCCCTACACAACAATTCAAACGTATTTTTTCTTTCTTTTTTAACTAATTCCAAGATATTTTGTAACAATGTGTTATTCCAAAAATGGAAAAGAATCTTTTTATGAAAAAAATAACAGCATGAAAGCTGCAAAGGAGATTTATTAAAGTTGACCACACTTTATGAAGATGTTACTTGGAGCAGTGGAGTAGTATGGATCGCATATATAGTTAGTGCCCTGCGGACTGATACTGATGCAGAGCCATACTTTTAACACAGATGCTAACGACTGGAATGTCAATAACCCTTTGTCCATCAACCTTTGCAGCAAAGATCCCAACCCTTACCTAAATCATGCTACATCATTCTGGGAGGTGAATGTTCCATACAAGTACAGCTTTAGAACCAGAACCAACCATTTTATACAGGAATGTAAAGATAACTGATTTAATCATGGATCTACTGAATAACTCACTAAATCATTTATCAAGCTGGCAAATTCCACAGACTCTCCAGGATAAAAATGTAGGGGGAATTTTAGCCTATTAAATTGTCCTTTTTTCTCTCAAAAGGTAGCCTAGTAAGATTAGGAGTAATTTCACCTTATATGGGCTTCTCAACGACCATGTGAGTCATTAGCCAGGTAAGGGAGTGTAAAATTTCTATCTGTCTCCTTATTATATATGACGAGAAACATTACTCAATAGTCGAATGGACTATCTACTACCGCCCCAGACACATAACCACATACTACAGTCTGGCCTCCAAGCCAATCCGCAGCCAACATTCGACAAAAAACACCTGAACAAAGGCAGTCATTCATGTCTACTATATACAGGTAAACTAAATATCTCTGCCAGTTAGGTATGCTGACCTGGCAAAAAACTGTATAGTATATATAAAAACACTAGCATTAAGTATGCATGATTGCACAAAAACATGCATTCTGTCATCCAATGACTGTGTATACATATTTTCATATATACGAAATATGTGTATCGTAATCATCACTCGCTAGTTAACTGGTTAGGTTACCGAAACCTGTATTAAATCTTTCTTCTTCTTTTAAATGAATATGAGTTATGTCCAATAAACCTATAAGAACAACCTATTTGTTTGACCCGTTTAGGTCGACTGAATTAATGAGAAATTCCACAAAAGCTCAACACCAGTAAACTTCGCCCCTCTGGCAGTCGAATCACTATGCTACCTGAATAAGCAATGAAAACATGGGACCAACACATTGAGACTTGTTATTGTCGTGTTTTATAGAAGTTGGAGACCGGATGTAAGTTTTTAACAACTTTCCTAACAGACATGCTACTGCACACTTAACTACTCGACTTGTCTCGTCAGTGAAACCCAGCTATAAAAAAGCGTCCCTGAACCTTTATCAGGCGTGCAAATGAAAGTCATAAGCTTGCTCAGAAAGAAATTGGATAGCAGGACCATGACAGGTCTGTCCACACCTGTGTAATTGTTAAACCTGGGTGGATTAAATTTTCGGTTAAATTCTGTGATCCTTTTAAATTTTGTATTATTCTATGTTTGAAGAACGTTTCTATTTAGGCTTGAGATTATAAAAAGAATGCAATATTTTTTTATAATACAACATCCCAGCTCAAAACACTTTCTTGTCTCTGCATGTATCCGGACATACGTCAGTACACTGGGGAGTGGGAATGAAAACTGAACATTTCTTTATTTAAATTTACACATAAATTGGGTATTAAATCAGGACAGAACACTCAACACCAGCCAGTTAACTAGGAATACACCTGAACACATTTAAGATTATAGCATCAGCCATCTCCACTTTATTTTATTTTTTAGATGTGTTGTTCCTTTAATTCATCGTTGAATAAAAACATTTTTTCTATTTGATAGTTTGAAATGGAAATAAGAGCCCTATTTATTTGTATAGACAATGGAGAGTCCAGCTGTGTTTAAGGGTGGAACCAGTTTAATGTATAATATGGTATATACAGTACATAGATATAGGTCAGAGGTAGTTCTATACCTGGGACCACTGGTCTGAAAGCCTGTCCAACAACACATGAACACTGGCTATTGTAGAAGATGTAATAATTCAGCTTTATCTCCTGGCCCTCCAGCTGGTTTACGGCCAGCACCCCTGTAACCAGCTTTGTTTTACTGCTCTGAAGCCACAAGTATAGGGCTGGGGAACATTTTTCAATATTTAGTGTAAACTTTAATCAAATATCTTATCAACTTAACACTCATCATAAATTATCAAAGTCTCTAAATATAACATACATCTACTGCTTCAGCTGAAAACCAAGTTGTCACTTCTGGGGAAAACTCAGGGAGGCCTTTATAGTTTGCTTTCGTGTTATCACCCTTAATGGATTGTGTATATAATCCGACAGCATAAACTGGCTTCTACAACTGTACTACAGATATTGCTCCGAAATACCATGTAGGCCTCCATACTGTGTAGGGCCTGGCGTCCGGAAGCTGCACAAGGAGATGGAAATGACTGGACATAACAGGGGACATATGGAACATCGCCAATGCAGGGATGACCTATTTAACAGATTAACTAACGACAGCGTTTGCCTATCAACCTTCAGTCACTGGTATATGTATAAGATCTAGTGAACTTATTATACAGCCACCATGTGTCCAGTAAATGTTTTGGGCATTATAAAGAAGTTCGGTGATATTTTTTATTTAAACATATTTTATTTGCATCAAAATATACATTGGGATTGGGCAAAAAAACTTGGCAATATAACTACGGAAATATACAAAGACATTCTTATCAAAGAGGGAAAAGGGGGCCTTGAACTACATTAGTGGAACTTAAAGCAAGGTGGCATATGAACAAGACAGATTGTATTGAGGTTTTACTGTATAATGTCGCAGGAAATTTCATCATATCCTTTATTTGACAAAATTTAACAATGTTGTACCAATGCTGCTAAATAAAAAACAATTTATTATGTAGAAAGTCTTAAAACTTTTATCTCTGTTGAAGTAAACTATCATGATAAAGCTCAAGTCACCCTGACTTTGAGCAGTAAACCACAGTGTGTATGTTATGCTATATAGAAGTAATACCAACTTCACCAACTCTATCAGGCTACAGACAAAGAATTTGTCTGATATCAGACTAGTAAATGGTCCTTCATTAATTGTAAAACTACCAATCCAAATTACAACATGATGGGAGAATCCAGCTGTGAATCAGTAGTAATGTATGCAGATTACCTGAGAATTGATGACAAGACACTTGTAAATGAAAGCGATATCTGTGATGGCCGACATATGTAATACATGTAGATAACGGCAGTCTTTTTATCTATAACCCCAGCCTGCTGTTCTGTGCGACTGTGATCAATGTGTTTTCGTTTTTTAAGAAGCTGACTACCACTGTAGGTGCCTGTACTGGTGTACAAACACGGAGCACTTGGCCCCAACGGTCCCATCACAGCCCGTCTATATCTATCTTTACATACAACCACATGTCGGCCTGCACATCACTGTCAGGCTGTGCTGCAACTCTGTCAGTCTGTACCCGTCTTGATGTCGCAACACAACTTTGGATTAGGTTCCAGATATTATTCTCTACACCAGATACTGGTCTTTACATAACGGACATGAATAAAATGAAAATGAATTTGTGGACATATTTCTTCCTTTTTCAGGATCACGCATTTGTAGCCCAATGAAATTCAGCATAATTTTAGGCCAGCCTGTTTGTTCACCTCAAAACGACCAGTTAAACTCCACGGACACAACTAATTTGATGATTGCTAGCTAGGGTACCAATTTAAATATTTAATATGAATAACGATGCGACATTGTTGCTGATCATGTTTGTTGAGATTGGCCTTTGAACAGAGAAATGGGAATAGCTCACAGACCAAAGCTATCGTCATACAATATACCATAAGAATGAGAACATAGAACTACGACAACTAGATTATGTTCATTTATGAAGCAATCACAGGGTTAGCTTCATGCAAAAGCAGCATTTTCTACCCACACAGTATTCAGCAATCAAGGATCTGGGCTCTGTCTATTGGGAGGGGACTCGGGGCATGAAAGGTTATCAGGCTCCCTTTATAGCTATCATTAGCTGCTATTTATTATGTGTCTATTACCACAGATTAGATAAATAACGTTCCAGGCAGGGGTGCACATACATGTATCTTTCTACCCTTTCGTTGTCAGCGTAAGGAGCTACAAATCCCCTCCCACTAGAAGCATGGTGAGAAGAGATTAAGCATGTTTATCTATCCCCTGGCCCTCACTAATCACCTGTATACTCTAATCAAACTACACTTGTAATGGGACCCAGCAGGTCCAGGAAGTAGAGACCAGAATTTGAAACAACTTTCGACTAAATCTCAAAAACCATACGTCATACTTATAACTAGAGCTGATACCCTTGTCTGTAGATGCAACATGGTGCAGACTCTAACATCGGCTCTTATCAACATATTTCAAATTTAACCCAGAAAAGTGAAAGGCACTCCATAATGTAGCTAAGACATCTATTTTCTCCGACTTCACACATAGCGGATGATTCACTGGGCCGATAGTTGAGTAATTCTCAGGTTATGATTAATCGTGTATTAAAGTGACTGTATCACCTCTACAATGTGTAACAAAGAGATCGGCTTTAGGGAAGTTTTAGATTTATTCAGTCTTTGCCAAGTGATATGAAATAATCTATAGTGCACATACATTATAACTTCTTAGGAAAGATCCAATTGATTGCAGTTCCTACACTATACAAGCCTGTAGAGATCTAGAGTTCAGGACTAGTATTAATTGTACATCCCGGCCTAAGTTTAAATACTGTCTACTCTTTTTAAGTCCATATCAAATATAGCATACCTACACTGACACTTCTAGTGTTTTACTGATTATCAACAGCGGGTGAACGACACCAAGTGTCAACATGTCCAAGTGAAGAACTATATATAAAGCACATTGGAACAATCTCGACATATCAGATACTCAGGTGCATGCACATACGACTGAAATATTTCCCTAATTTCCATGTTTTATTCTTATACAAACTCACGTGCAAAGAATGGCCTGGTCTTCTCTGTCTGCAAATAGAAAAAGAAAAACATTTTTAGCATGAATATCGATATTGGTTTAATGCAAACCACATATCTATTTCTAATATAATCACAGAAAACACTTGTGAAGGGAAGCAGAACACATTTTCACACGTTTTATCTTTGCAAATGCTTGGCTTAATTTGTATGTTATTGAAATCGATTCAGGTTTGTAAATTTCATATGAATACATCAGCGACTCCCAACTTTACCACAGAAATATCAGTAAATCTACATACTACTTATATGTATACATGGTGAAAATAAATGTATAATCAAATTTGAATTTGAAATATTTAAATGTAGATGCCCCTGGAGTAACCCCTAGGAACCCAACTGTGAACATCCTGTATATATATGACCTCAACATTGTATATCTGTCAAACTCGTACTTCTTCAGGTGATAAATGGCCTTACTTCACCTTTAGAGGCCAATGACTTAGCTCTTAACCCCACATTTCAATTTTTTCAGTCAAATTAAATACCCATACACCAAAGGACATAATGTCGAAAATTCAATTGAAAATTACATTATGATATTGTAATGTAAATATAAGTATACAAGCTGTACATACATCAACTCTGCCTTCTGACAAGTGTTTTTTTAACAAGTACCTACTTTCTTATAAGTTTAACAAGTAGCCCACAACACTACAAGTGTCAGGACCGACTGATGTACAAGCTGTATGTTCACATTTTCAGAATACCACCAAGCCCAAGCGGATGATTGTTAATGCTTTAACTCCTGCCACAACCAACAGCCATCTTATTTTGACAGACATATATACTAAAGGTCATTCTGGTATTGAGAGGTCATCCTTTTGTGTTGCCGGTCTAACCTTTTATCTCGGACTAGAATGCTTCCTGTTTTATTAGGAGCAGTAAGTGAACATCTTAAATACATTTTGTAGTTTTCAAAGTTATTATAACGGACTAGGAACATATACAGCCTACCTCAGGTTAGAAGGGCCCACTAAAACCAACCTTTTGTATATTTATCTGTTATCACGGAGCTTGACACATATCTTACTTCACAATACATTTGCTATTAAATTTCTATTTCTATATCTTTACAATTTTGCAGATTTCCATTTACACAGAATCCCCTTCATTCACGTTTCAAAGGAAGGTAACGACTACCAATTTCAAGGTCAGGTAGCTATCTGAAATATGTGACCCCAGCAGTGCTGGAGACTATCAATGGTAAAGCCAGAATGCCCGGAATGTGGACGAGCCCAGGACGATATCAGAACCATTGTTCTTGGCCAAATTAATGATGTAGGTCTATTATACAATGGTATTGTTATCAAGCAAGTCCTCACCTAAATACACAGGTCTAAGGTATTCATTTCCTATCTAAATATTTTTTTAAGAAATGCACTAATTACTCAAGATCTTTAAAAAGAATTTACGAAATTCCTGATAAGTTGACAATACTGTCAAAGGTATGTACTCTGCGCAAGATATAAAATTTAGATCGTGTAATTATGCAAGAATTTCATACCATGAGCACCCAAAGTCTTGATTCAATTGTGTACACCTAAAGGGACATTCACTTAATAGTTATGTGCATGAAGTTTTGTGGATAAATTGAGATGCAAATTTTATACGGAAGTCAGGAACATGGCAAAAGATTCATGAATATTTACATGCCATATAAAAGCAGAGTTTCGCAACATATATGTCCCAGAAGCATTTAAAAATAGAAGTTACGTATTTAATAGGGAATCATTAACATGAAATTACTAGATATATGCAGTCTTTCAATTTACAATTTACACACTATAGGCAATAGATCTATGTAATGTATAGATTTCTTGCAGACATACTGAAATATTTATGACCAATATAAACAAACCTTGATATTGTCAAATCTGTGATGCACCTAAGGTAGAAAAATATTTTCATGTAACACTTTTTCCCTAGCTGCCATACCATTGGATCAGACACAGAAATAACATCACTGAGAATTTGGTCTTCAAAGTGAAGAATTATTACCATTGACCTACAGTGTTGATCTTGATTATTGTCTATAGCTATGGGTCTACTGTTAGAGTGAACACTGTATATGCTGACAAGTAGATTTTATTATAAAAATTTAAACAGCTTTCACAACTTCAATGATTGCTGAAAGCAGGTGCAAGTGCAGTTTGTTTTACTTTGAATTTACTATTAAAGGAGTTCAAATTTAAAAAGAAGTATATATATAAAATTCAGATCTACATCATTATTCATAGTCATTTAAGTTCAGTGCTTAAAATGCAAACCTGTACTCTGGTACAGATTGTTGAGACTAAATCATAATAAACAGTCACGCTTCTATGGGTGCTGCATCCAATCACAAATATGTGGGTGTCTGTTTGTTGACAAGTGGGTTCCATTCTTAGCTTTTTTAGAGAAGGTATATCATATGTAAACGGAGTGTCATTATCTGAGGTAGAATAGGCTCCATCACACCTGGAATGTACTGTAGACTGATCCCTAGGGCTGTGAGGCACGCCATGCATAACAATTGTATACAGATGACAACATTAAATCTATTCACTGTTGTCTTACATAGATACTGAACCTTCTGGCTGAGTATTCTTGATGTACAGTAAAACATTTTGTACTGAAGTCCATGGGACATAAGTTCTTATAGACCAAATTGTTTTAAGAATTTTATGCTCATGGGATGATTCTTCATCTAGACAAAAATACAGCTTTGTTTTTAAGCAAGTGTCATGATGATGAAGTCATAAGATGCACTTTGTTAAATGTTGCAAATCAGGGGTTTGCAATTTCATATTTAGAGCACTAGTCTGTGACGAGGTTTTAAAAATCTACTACTACTAAACCCAGCCTATAAATTTAAAGTTTATATTGAAATTAACTAGTCTGGGTGTTGGGCTACGAAGAATTATAACAAGAGGCCCAATGGGCCTGCATCGCTCACCTGGTATAAAACTCACACTTGTAACCTTAAAAGTGATCTAAAATAAAGCTACAGGCAAAATATCAGTATTTATGATTAAAATTCGTTCAAAAGACCCTATTAATTTTTTTTTAAACATTTCACCCCTGTGATTGAAAGTCGAACAAAGTCATTATGTTGAACACATTGTATAGCCTTTCATCTCAGGATGCAACTTGCAAAGTATAAACATCCTGGGACCCATGGTTATTCA